TTGCCCCCCCCCCCCCACGCCCCCCCCCCCCGGCCCCCCCGGATATATTACTTGCCCCTCCTGAAAATCAAGGTTGGCTACGGGCCCAAGTGCATGTGCCTTTCTAATCGTCATTGGCATCACGAAAGCTAGCTTCTTTACGGTTTTGTACAGATTTTCCTTGATTCAATCTTAACAATGCTCCATCTTTTACATCATTAGTTAAGCTGTTCACTCCAAATGCATTGATAGATCGTAGGGAAGCTATTTTAATCTTTGACGTGAGTGTCGGTTACTGGCAAATAAAAATAATCATAAGTAGCAAATGTTCTATTCTTACCATTTAGGCTCTGGTCCCACTAGCGTTAATGTTCTTAAAGCCAAACGTTTATGTAAGTTCCATCTTTCAACGGCTACAGCCACGATCAAACTTCCCAGAAACAACATCAATGTGTCCTGAAATTGCAGAATTTGATTTTTTTTGCGCCCCTTTTTCAGGCAAGGAAGTGAACATATTGTGTCCCTGAATGAAATAATGAACCCACCAACACAGTCAGAGTTACATCCGGTGCCCCTTATCCATGATTATCGTAGCCTGTAAACGTTGTGACCCATCGTCAACACAGAATTTAATTGAGCATTTGAACGTCTCATTGTGCAGGCTAAGAAGTTTATTATCTTATTGTAATACCTGAATGAAACGATGAAACAACAATCACAATTAGAATTTCATCTACTGTTCAATAGCTACTCTTACCCTAGTTCCCTAGTCAAGGCTGACCCTCCTATTCTACGGGTTTCTGTGGGTGGATATCGTCTAAACCAATATTATTTGAATCAGATAACAATTTCGTTTCCTTTCTGTTTTTAGCCTCCTCTGTAATCTCGCAAGTTTTCTACCACAGTCGTATTCTAATGGCGTTAACCAATCAAAGTGTTAAAGGGTTTTGTAGTAGCCTACCTTGACATAGCTGCTGCACGTGTCCTTAGCTGACATCACTCCCCATAGTGGAAACAGGACTACAGGGAGAAGGGAGGTAACTGCTAGTGGTATAATCTCTGTTATCCAGTATATTGCTATTAATAGCACGCAATAGGCACATCTTGAAACCTGAAATATGCGAAAACACAATACGTGAAGGATTTAAACAAAATGTAGTATCTACGAGGTCGGTTGGAACACTTACTTACCCCCACAGAAATGAGGCTGGTCCTGCTTTCGCCCACCCTTTTTCAAATTTCTTATCATTGGGATTATAAATGTTTGGTACTGTCAGCCCCTTTGATAATCTCGTCTTAATGATTCGTAGAACGCCACTGACAAAACATTATAAGCTAGGGCTATTTACCACGGAACCCAATAATAATTTGATATGTTCAGGTCAAAGATGATTGGTCACCTGTGCCGCAGGAATCATTTACACAATTTTCACGATTTGTCCAGCAGACAAAGAAAAAACATTACTCGGGCCCATTCAATGTATTCACTTTCGGACTAAGAAGCGACTGTAAAACATGACTTATTTGATAAGTTTGCAAAATGATGTTTTGTCATATCTTGAGTTACTAGGATGAGTGCGTTGAGATGAGATGGGTTTCGAATTAATTGCTCTATCAACCTCGGTGAATTATTAAATATTTAACTTTATGACTCGTCATATTCTTGTCTGACAGGGATAAAGTCCACAATACTTTCCAGCATAAACAATCTGACGTCTCGTTCGTCTGTCATTTTAGAAAGCGTGTATCACTTACTAAAAGCAATAACACTTGAATGCTGTTAAACATTTGTGTTCAAGAAAATATTTTATAAGATCTGAATTCTATAACACACAATCTTTAATCAAAAGGTGCGAGCACACGACCGGTCTTGGTCGGAGATTTTGGTCGCCGACAAGAGTCATGTCTAGAGTTTTACCGTCTGGCACGGCCATAGTGGATGAAAGCCGACCGGGGGTTGACGTCTCTATCGGTAATACCATACTAATGAATCAAATGTTTCCACAAAACGTGAAGCCTTGTTTTATGAAGATGTTTGTGTACAATTTAATACGTAAACAAAACAGGTAATAGTGACCAATTCGGATGTATTTGAAAATTTAAAGCTCTGATTTGGGAAGATGATTGTTTACGATTTATTAAGTTCGTTTTTTTTTATTGTCAACAAAACTATTACAAACTAGGTTTATAGCGCTGGCATTATATCACATGACACGACCTACTTTAAATACAATACATAAATATATATTACTAAAATTAGATAATGTGGCCGTATAGGTAACACTTCAATAAGCATACTATTATTAGTAAGATCTAACCGACATTTTAACAACGGGTGATAAGCCTCGATAGTTATGTTGATTGATACATGAACATGTTAAAAGAGGTTTTTTCAAACTTTTCATGTGTATCGGGAACACTAATAGCATCAATTTGCACCATTTCAATTGAATGGTGGATCTACTGCAGTAATGATGATACGAATACATAGACAAGGTGACAGAAATCCAAAAACCCAAAAGAAACGGGAGGTGTCTCTCCTGGATAGGAGCCCCTTGAAGTCGAGGGGCTGGGGGATGTCAGGTGAATTTAGATGGCTTAATTATATTTTAAAGACATAGAAGATTAGGGAGGTTAACATTGATAGATGTGACCTTTTCGGAGGTTGATTTTAGTCTTTAATACGTGTAAATGTAAATAGTCTTTAGAACTGTACAAAAATACCCCAAGAAAACCAGGAATTTCTCTTTCTATTTCTATATGTCTTTTCTATATATGGCACGGTATCCAACTTAAAGACGCGGATAATTCTGGACACACATGGATTTGAAGACTTAAATTTCGACGGTGAGCTGTGGACACTATTACCGGTTTGCTTAGCTAAAAAAAAATCCCGTTTCTGAGACTAAAGTATGATTGGTCAAAACAAATGCAAACGTAGTTTGTAATAAGACCAGAAGTAGTGTATCTATATATCTTGTGTTTTTAATGTTACCTGTATGTGTTTCTATACGTAGTTTGTAATAAAATCAGAAGTAGTATATCTATATATCTTGTGTTTTTAATGTTACTTGTATGTGTTTCTAAACGTAGTATGTAATAAAATCAGAAGTAGTATATCTATATATCTTGTGTTTTTAATGTTACCTGTATGTGAATCTAAACGTAGTATATAATAAACCTAGTAGAAGTAGTATATCTATATATCTTGTGTTTTTAATGTTACTTGTATGTGTTTCTAAACGTAGTATGTAATAAACCTAGTAGAAGTAGTATATCTATATATCTTGTGTTTTAATGTTACTTGTATGTGTTTCTAAACGTAGTTTGTAATAAACCTAGAAGTAGTATATCTATATATCTTGTGTTTTTATTGTTACTTGTATGTGAATCTAAACGTAGTATATAATAAACCTAGTAGAAGTAGTATATCGATATATCTTGTGTTTTTAATGTTAACTGTATCTGTTTCTAAACGTAGTATGTAATAAACCTAGAAGTAGTATATCTATATATCTTGTGTTTTTAATGTTACTTGTATGTGTTTCTAAACGTAGTATGTAATAAACCTAGAAGTAGTATATCTATATATCTTGTGTTTTTAATGTTACTTGTATGTGTTTCTAAACGAAGTATATAATAAACCTAGAAGAAGTAGTATATCTATATATCTTGTGTTTTTAATGTTACTTGTATGTGTTTCTAAACGTAGTATGTAATAAACTCACAAGTAGTATATCTATATATCTTGTGTTTTAATGTTACTTGTATGTGTTTCTAAACGTAGTATGTAATAAACCTAGAAGTAGTATATCTATATATCTTGTGTTTTTAATGTTACTTGTATGTGTTTCTAAACGTAGTATGTAATAAACTCAGAAGTAGTATATCTATATATCTTGTGTTTTAATGTTACTTGTATGTGTCACTAAACGTAGTATGTAATAAACCTAGAAGTAGTATATCTATATATCTTGTGTTTTTAATGTTACTTGTATGTGTTTCTAAACGTAGTATGTAATAAACCTAGAAGTAGTATATCTATATATCTTGTGTTTTAATGTTACTTGTATGTGTTTCTAAACGTAGTATGTAATAAACCTAGAAGTAGTATATCTATATATCTTGTGTTTTAATGTTACTTGTATGTGTTTCTAAACGTAGTATGTAATAAACCTAGAAGTAGTATATCTATATATCTTGTGTTTTAATGTTACTTGTATGTGTTTCTAAACGTAGTATGTAATAAACCTAGAAGTAGTATATCTATATATCTTGTGTTTTTAATGTTACTTGTATGTGTTTCTAAACGTAGTATGTAATAAACCTAGAAGTAGTATATCTATATATCTTGTGTTTTAATGTTACTCGTATGTGTTTCTAAACGTAGTATGTAATAAACCTAGAAGTAGTATATCTATATATCTTGTGTTTTAATGTTACTCGTATGTGTTTCTAAACGTAGTATGTAATAAACCTAGAAGGAGTATATCTATATATCTTGTGTTTTAATGTTACTTGTATGTGTTTCTAAACGTAGTATGTAATAAACTCAGAAGTAGTATATCTATATATCTTGTGTTTTAATGTTACTTGTATGTGTTTCTAAACGTAGTATGTAATAAACCTAGAAGTAGTATATCTATATATCTTGTGTTTTTAATGTTAACTGTATGTGTTTCGAAACGTAGTATGTAATAAACCTAGAAGTAGTATATCTATATATCTTGTGTTTTAATGTTACTTGTATGTGTTTCTAAACGTAGTATGTAATAAACCTAGAAGTAGTATATCTATATATCTTGTGTTTTAATGTTACTTGTATGTGTTTCTAAACGTAGTATGTAATAAACCTAGAAGTAATATATCTATATATCTTGTGTTTTTAATGTTACTTGTATGTGTTTCTAAACGTAGTATGTAATAAACCTAGAAGTAGTATATCTATATATCTTGTGTTTTTAATGTTACTTGTATGTGTTTCTAAACGTAGTATGTAATAAACCTAGTAGAAGTAGTATATCTATATATCTTGTGTTTTTAATGTTACCTGTATGTGTTTCTAAACGTAGTATGTAATAAACCTAGAAGTAGTATATCTATATATCTTGTGTTTTTAATGTTAACTGTATGTGTTACTAAACGTAGTATGTAATAAACCTAGTAGAAGTAGTATATCTATATATCTTGTGTTTTTAATATTATGGAATGTTAATGTTAATGAAATGTAGTAATAAACCTAGTAGAAGTAGTAGTAGTAGAAGTAGTATATCTATGTATTTTATTATTGTAATAAATATCATAGTTAATCTTCTCAAGGTCAGTTATTATTGACAAGAAATTGACCAGCTGAGACCATTACCACCAATCTTAGATTAACCTTATAGATCTTATATCAGCTGTTTTATTTATTAAAAAAGAACAGCAGGCTATTCATATTAAAGTCGATGTCCCAGGAGGAAAGTTGCCAATTTTATGACAATTAAAACACAGATTTCACTCGGGGGAAATGTCCAATTGAAATTTTGAATTGACATAAAATTTGACCTCAAACAACATTTTTTTTAAAAATGATGCGTTTGGATAACATAAACTACACAGTTTGATTTGTTGTTTAGGTGAGAAATATCATTGAATTAATGGAAACTTTGAGTTTTTTGCCCACTAAGAACTATGATCGAGAAATGCTTACAATTCGATGTTCAGAATATTAATAACTCTATTTGGGATAGTCACTTTAACAGATCGTTATAATTTTATGTTTTTTATATGCTTTTTATTAGTAAATTATTTCAATTATAAAGATTTTGCTCCGGTTTCCATTGTCACACCATGTATATAATATGTGTGGAAACAGATACATTTCATATAGTCATTATGTTTTGTCCCGTGTTATTTATGTGTTCTGTTTTGAAAGAACTCTTCGTGTAACTAAATACTATCAGTTTTAAATTCATTTTACGACTTGAACTGACGATGTTTTGACACATTTATGTCTTATATATTCCACTCATAAAACATTCTTTTTTCGTTCTGCTCTCTCAACATCTACATCTGTTACTTGTTAGAGTCGTTCAAAAATGGAACATGTTGGTGGGCCGCATCTTCGCAATGTCAAGCTATTACAAACTTTATCTTTACAATGTCAAGCTATTACATACTACATCTTCACAATGTCAAGCTATTACAAACTTCATCTTCACAATGTCAAGCTATTACTAACTTCATATTTACAATGTTAAGCTATTACATACTTCATCTTCACAATGTCAAGCTATTACAAACTATATCTTTACAGTGTCAAGCTATTACAAACATCATCTTCACGATGTCAAGCTATTACAAACTTCATCTTCACAATGTCAAGCTATTATCATTTACGGCTTATACCTTGACAACCATAGTCACCGTTCTTGTATCATGTTTAAAAATGAAGCGATTTGATTGGACTGTACCCTAGAGAATATAGATAATCAGAGGCCTCGAAATAAGACTGAATTGATATGCATTATCTCTGTCGAAAAGATCTGTTTAAACAGAACGCCATTGCACGTTAAAGGAATACAATACCTTGTAAAAGTTGAAAGCAGAATTGAAAGGCGCACATTTAGCTTTAAGTTAGACCTACAAATACAAAGACAGTAAACTCTCTTAACAAACTTCACAGCCTATCTCGACAGCTACACTATAATATGTATGATATAATTATATGCCAAGGTTTTGTATTTGTAATGAAGATAACAACTTACATCATTAGGATGTAGTAAGGGTAGAGGTAACAGGATCAATGGAACCAAGATGGCAAACCACAGAGTGGAACTTTCACGTATAATCCTGAGCACTCTCCGAACAGACATTTTATAATAACAAGTCACGCTTGTGACAGTGGATATACTCAACTTTACTACAGCTATATATTCTGTCATCTTCACAAACCAATAACTACATGACGGTAATAAAATCCCTGACTCCCCGCCTCTCACCTATCATAACTATTCTATATCTTACTCTTTCTCCAGCCTTATATACTTTATTAATATATGTCTGCGAAGCAGATTCGAATAAGAAGCCTATTTCCTATTTCGCCTATACATATTGTGTACATTGTACTAAAGGGACAGGTGCGACATTTTCGATAGTTGATTTTAACCTTGAATATATGTAAATAGTTTTCAGAAATACAAGAAATGTACAAAAATCACATAATTCCTTAAAACATATTCCAAACTAGAAATTTCACTCACTATTTCTATATATGCCTTTCTATATATCACAGAATATCATAATCTATAATACAATGAATAAAGAAATATTATCTACAAAATATAATATAATTTACTCATTCAGAGAGAATGTAACCATGTCAGGATTTCGCTCATTGCACACCGTTATCCATCTTTTATTGGCTTGAACGTGTACAGGAGGAAGTTTCTCAATTACTTCAAAAATAGGAACTCAAAAATATCAGCGACCAAATAGATCGCATTTCATTTCAATACCACTCTATACCATGGATTGTGAAGATGTTATCGTAAGAACTCTATTACCATGTGTACTATGTGAGATGTATCCTATACAATGCTATTCATCTATCTTTTATTATACTAACCCCCTATTTATCTGGGGGGTGGGGTCAAAAAGTCAAGGGCTGCTAGTAAACAAACCCCTTAACTATATCCGCCTAGCTTTGAGGGTCAAATGAGATTTTGCAATAACATTTCAGTGTGTGATACGACTAACAATTTATACTATTTCTATTAACAAAGTTGCAGAGTGGTTTTCGGTTTCGCCCGTTTGACCAATCGTAACTTTGTCTCAGAAACTAGAATTTTAAAGCCGAGCTAATCAGTAATAGTGTTCACAGCTCACCGTCGAAATTTCAGCTCAAATCCATTTTTCCGGAATTTTACGCGTTAGAAAGTTAAAATGACGAACCGTCTTTTCCTTGGACTCTGCCATTCCTAGAAGCAGACAGTCAAATTTCTATTTCAAAGTATATATTTGAAGGAATTATGCGATTTTCATGCCGTTCCAGTGCTTCTGAAGACTATTTACATATATTCAGGGCCCAAATCAACCCCCGCAAATGGCGAATCTCTCCCTTTATACTCATTGCTATATCATCGCTATAATAATCAAATATACAGTACGTTAAACACCAGTCAGAGAGGCTGGCCCGTAGCTATAGAGGGCAACGGGGGTGGTGGGGCAGCCAGCCCCCAACCCATAATTGCCCCTTCGGATGTATCAATTGCCCCCTGAACAATCAAGTCTGATTACAGACCTGTAGTGAAGTTATTTGTATTATATTTTCAATCTTATCTAAGTTACTGATAAAAAGACATGTTCTCGTTCATTGACCTTGACCAAACCAAATTATTCTATTATATATAGTCGGGTTGTCGGCTGCTAGGTGATAAGATGCCTTGGTTTCAAAATCCTTTCTCAAAGTAAGAAAAATTCTCATGTCCAGGCCAGTGCTTCCGAGGGTCGTTTTTCAATCTTTATTACCATGTGCATCGAATACCTTTGTCGGTAACAAGTTGAATTGTCATCTGATGATAAACTGTCAACGGCGTTATAATAAAATTATAAAATATTTTCAGAATAATCATCAATTTATTCACAAAAGTAACAAAACTCTAATATAAATATCAAAAATAAATAAAGTACAAAAAATCAAAATTTCTACTTTTACAACAGAACAGTTTGGGTGGTGATTATTTTTAACTATAAAAAAAAAACACGGCCGAATAAGGACTTCTGGTAGGAAACCATCAGCTCCAAAATACGACTTTATCTTTAAAATAATATAGAATGAATTCAAGCTAATATTAAGTTCTAAAACATTGGATCAATAAACGCAGCAAAAATTATCAAGAAAGTTTCTACTTTTGTTCAACTTTTTCTTCAAGGTCCTTAATATTGAAAAGTTGAAAGATTTTATCAATGTTATTGTTTCATATTTGAATCTTCATGGTAGCTTTAATCAAATATCGAAACTAAAGCTGTCATGCTCTCACAAAAGAAGCTTTGACATGACATTCGACACTTATTTCTTTCACATGTTGCAAGTGATTGTTTGATATAGAAAATAGAAGTAAATTATATCAGTGCTCTACGTTTTGATGCTTTGTTTCTACCAGATTACAATTTATAATTCTTAATTTCTTAATTTTATTGTGAATTGTCGTGCCAGCTAAAATATCGATATTTTATAAAAGAGAAGAAATGAATCTAAGAAGAGGTCTCGACTAGAAACTGTGTCGTTTTGATTTAAAAAAAAATACGATTCAAAATTATAAAAGTCTTGTGCTTAGAAAATTCTCTCAAGGGAGGTCACTCTATATTTTAACACATGGAAACTTGAACCTGTAATAAAATACAGAATATTGTAATATTATAGTTCCAACATAATGACGTAAAACACAATTTCTTTCAGTTTCAGTTGTATGTAAGAATTGGACTGGTTGGATTTAATGTGATAGTGTGCAAAACTTGTCTCATGCACTGACAGGCCACAGCCATTATAATTTTACATAGGGAAAGGTTGATATATGAAACTTTTTGGCCCCGTTTCCTAGAAACGCCACCGGGGCACAGATGTCATACAACTCATATCGATTATCTCCCCTAATCAAGTTTAGCCGACTGGGGCTTTGGTATAACCTAATGGTTTTCAGTTAAACTACAATTTCGACTAAATAAATAAACCAAGTACTAACTATCCGAACCGCAAATCGAAACCCGAAATCCAAAACAATTTTTCACATGAGGAAGTATATGAATCATAAGTGAGTAAGTATTTCATAATGAAAAGTGGCATCAGGTGTCTAGAAGAGTAAGTGTATCATGCCCAGCGCCACACCCGTCATAGCTCTCACTCATCCCAATTAGTATTCCGGAAGCTCACAACAGAGAGCCAGGTCAATGAAGTTTCGAAAAGAGTAAAAATTTATACTTACATAGTCGATGTATCCAACGAAGTTTTCATAAGTGTTACCATGACCGATCTGTAAAGCACATTCACTCTTACGGATATCACCTATAATGGACATAAATATGGCATTCAGAATTCAATCAACTAGATTTACAGTAACTGTGCAATTTAATATTCATTAGACTAAACTTTCATTCCGTTTTTTATTAGCTTTTATTTTTAATATAGCCATTTCAGTTCAGGCCTCTTAAACATTCGTCAAAATAACCTATTGACCGAACCTAGTGACACCTGCTTTAACCAATCATATTCCGTCACTCTCTCCAAATTGCCAGCGCTGGAGAGGACAGAAATTTGATTGGTTAAAGAAGGGTTCGGTTCGGTTATTTTAGTAACTATGGTATTATATTGATAGTGTTAATCATGTCATAGATTGAACTGAAGCAATATATAGTCGAGACTTGAAACTTGAAACATGATAGACTTACCAACAATGATAGAAACATGATAGACTTACCAACAATGATAGAAACATGATAGACTTACCAACAATGATAGAAACATGATATACTTACCAACAATGATAGAAACATGATAGATGATAGACTTACCAACAATGATAGAAACATGATAGACTTACCAACAATGATAGAAACATGATAGACTTACCAACAATGATAGAAACATGATAGACTTACCAACAATGATAGAAACATGATAGACTTACCAACAATGATAGAAACATGATAGACTTACCAACAATTTGAATTTGTTGAGAAACCCCATCAACAGTTCCTTTTAATAATCCATTATCAACTCGGTATATAACTTCTCTCCATTGAGTCTAAAAATTTATCAAAAGATGTTTAACGGTTATGAAAACTGAGAGTATAATAAAAGCGAAGGGCGGTAACTCTCAGACGAATGTCTGGTCAGAAACATTTTCGGTTCCATGGACAAAAAGATCGGAACACATCCGTCGAATATAAACTAAGTACTTCTAACCGAAAAATGAAACCCGAAATCCAAAACAATGAATTGGCGACACAATGGTAGCAGTTAATGAAGTATTTCATAAAATGAATAGTGGTATCAGGTGTCGAGAATATCATTTTGGCTACCTCGCCTCAAGGGCAAAGGTTCATCGTGAAAGATTTCAAGATTTGCAAAATTTAAAATCGATTTTAATCTTAAAAGTTGGTGATTGACCAGATGACTAGAACATTAAAATCATCTGAAGTTAACTTTCGAAAAAAAATCCAGTTCTGCAATCAACTCACCTGGTCTTGTACATTGACATCAACCGTTTTTAGTTCAGAAGCTTCGTTTCTCATTAAAAATGTATCGGTACCTCGGTTCAACAATATGGCGACAGAGCCTGGTTTACCACAGTCTCTGTTGGTGAATAGAGCTTGTTGCTGCTGGATAGGAGCCTCGGCTCTGTATTTCATTTTAACCATGAAAGTAGATCCGAGACCAAAGTTAGAAAATCGTGGTACTCTTAAAATAGCATCACCGTTGAAATATGCCCAGCCATTTTGGAAGGAAACTCCGACATTTTGAACCCAGTTGTTGTTACCGGAAGTATCACGTGCGTCGTTTTCAAATTGAAGGTCAAGGATTGGTTTACAGTCTGAAATAAAGGTCAAGGTAATTCTAATGCCATTTTTCATAGAAACATACTGAATTTATTACAAGTAATATAAGCATTTATAGAGACTTTAAAGTCTAGAATACACTGCCACTGTGATCACAACCCACGATTTCTCTATCATGAAGTCCTTCCAATTATTGTGTTCTTAATACATTGATGCTATACAGAGTTACTCCCCTTTTGCATGCTGATCTATAAAGTAGTGTTTAATTCCTGTTTGTCTTATGGTGTCAGCATTAGAAACCATTAGGAAGTGATTCAGTAAAGAGGAATTACACCCTGCTTTATCCGGATGATGACGGAAATCTACGGAAATTTCCGAACTGTGCCGTAGACTGGCGAGTCAATGATCCTTAATGCTTTTGGAGAACCCGTTAACCACTGCTTGAAAAATCATTTCAGACAATAATACCACATTGGGATAGGTCGATTGTAACTTACGGACAGTTACGGAGTCAACCGATCTTTGCCGAGCTGTGGGACTACAAGTAGTGACCCAATCGCAATTCAAGAATTCTGAATGGCCGAAATAAAAATATGATGATCTTTATAATAACAGCAAGATTGGGCAATTTTTATGGTACCTACGGAGAGTTACGGGGTGAGCCGAAGATTGCCGAGGAGCTTACCGTTGTTGACTGGTGGGAATCTAGTAGGGGCAGCTGGGTTAGAATCATAGAATGTAGAACAATCACACTTGGTAGGACTAAATGTGGTACCAACAGCACAGGGTCGCTGTATCTTACCGAACCCAGGTACATCTTCCATGTAATATCCAGGTAGACCAGGGACAGCTTCTTTGTTACATTGTGCTACAATAAGAATCATAGAGAATATATATTATATAACATAGAACAATAAGAGTCGAAGATATTGTAATACATTAAACCACGGGACATTCTATTTATTTATTTAGCGGTCATGGATTCAGGGCCTTTTTTCTATGAAGCAGGAATCGTTTTCGACAAGCGTAGCATTTGCCTCATCTCCACAATCTCAAGCTATTACGAATTTCAGACTTATACCTTGACTGCAATAGCTACCTTTCTTGTATCATGGAAGTTTGTAAATGAAGCTATTTGATTGGATTGTACGTCAGCGAATACAGCCAATCAAAGGCCTCAACAGAAAGTCTGTGAACACAAACCATAATGTTTATAGTCTTTCTGTCGAAGGCTCTGATTGACTGTATTCTCTGGCGTACAATCCAATCAAATCGCAACATTCCTGATGCAAGAGAATATAAGTACGAAGATCGTATATAATCATGGCCTAGAGATCGGACATTGATGAGTGTATATCAACTTACCTTGTGCAGTGGGGGCGGGGTTGGAACTGGTACCACATAGGTCGTTACAGGTGTTGTCTGAAACACATTGTCTGCTAGTGTCAGAGTAAGAAGTACCTTGTGGACAGCATAGAGCAGCACCGAATCTGTCGTCACATGAGTAGTATTGTCGACAGTTGTGGATGGATTTGAAATGAGTGGTGCCGGGGTTGTTACATTTATCTGTTAAATAAAACTTGATAATTAGAAATATTTCAGATGAATATTGGAGATGAGACAAAATAGGAATTGGAAAAAACAGTCAATGATTGACATTTACATCTAACAGTTATATGTTACAGGATGTCAATTGTCTTTATTGTCAACATCTTAACAGATAAAACGAGGCATATTCAAATTCATACTGTACTGTAATTGGTAAATAAACAAACACAGTTTGAAATGATTTTTAGTTATTGACCAATCAACAGAAGAGGATGATATGATAATTTAAAGTGAAGTTTTTTCCCAATGGCCAATGTTTTATTAAACTAAAGCTGCAAGAATTATTTAGTGACCATAAAGTGTGTCCTATAGTTATTTTTCCTCGCCTTTTTTTACCCTCGCTTTCTCGCATTTTTCCTCGCTTTGTCAAGTCGAGGGTATTATGGCAGTAGCCGGCTTCCATAACTTGTACATAATACAGTATGTCCACCACTTGCTTGCCATCCACCGCAGAAGTGTGTTGTCTTTTCGAACTGCTCAGCTGGCGGTTCACTTTTAAGATAGTTGTATGATTTTGTAAGAAATCAGCATCTCAATAATAAAATTGGGACGAAGTGTCTTTGCGTCTCTTCGAAAAATCGCATGTATTGTCTGAGCAAAGTAAAAGGTTTTTGGAATTTTTTCGATATTTTTAAAGAGAATTGGAATATCAGCCTTAAATAGTACTGATAGTTTTAAAATGTCTTTGCTTTGATAAAAATATAATATTTTGTAAGTTTACATTGAAACAAAACATATCTCTCCTAGAAATTTTAACCCCAAAAAGTCACATATTTGGTTTGAAAATTGTCCTCTGTAAACAAATTTTGAAGACATAATGTGTGCTTATGTTTTTATTTTTATCAACGCAAAGACATTCTAAGACTAACAGTACAATTTGGAGGCTTCTATTCCAATTCTCATAAAAATAATGGGAAAAATGTAAAAAACATTTAACTTTGCTCAGACAATAGTATAATTTGATATTAGTTTAATACTTACCGTTAACACAAGTCACTTGACTTGGATATTTACAGGTGAAATCATCTTGATCCCAAAATAACCCCATACCACAGTTCTTAATCATACCCTCGGCAGAACCATCTTTATCAAATATACACTGGATAAACCGGTGACAGTCCGTGGGGTGGGGCAGGAACCCAATACCGTTATCTTCTTTACAACCGTCACACAGACTACCATTAATAGGGTTGGGGGTGGTGTCAACTCGTCCACCAGGTCCAGGGGGTGTTATACGTGTTGTTCTGGGGGTGGGCGTAGTCGGTGTTGGTGTGGTGGTAGCTGAAAATATATACATTTGTGAGGTTCTATAGCACAGTCCGTTAGAGGGTTGGTTCTTTACATGACGTCATTTGCTTGGTTACGTCGAGCGAATGGTGGTTGTGGGTTCCGATCTCGATCTGCGTGTGAAAGTCTGATGACCTTGAATAAGTCATCTTCACTCATAATTCCAGTCGACCCAGCTGTAAATGCCCAGCGGTTTGGCTAAGGATCAGCTGGTAGAAAGGATCCTTAACTGTGAACCTAAGTTGTTATCCTTCTTTCTTTCTAACAATGGAGATTTATGTCCTGTGGTTGTATTGATATATCGTGAAGGTTTCAATCTGGGGGATTTTTTAAAAATGTTCGAGGGGTTATGAGCCATGAGGGTGATAGGTGAAAGGGGTCATGCAATCGATCAAGAATTCTAAAAGGGGTAAAAGAAAGAAAAGGGTTGAAAACCGCTGATCTAGATATAAGAGCTGGTAGTTTGATGTTGAAGGGTCAGCGAGAATCTCACGTCGTTAACTAGATATCTTCACGTCTGAGCAAAATCAATGGTGTCATGCAATTTTGAGAGACTTTAGCCACGGAAGATCAAATTGTTTATTGTACCAAGTATTCTACCACGCGCATTAGACATACGTAGTTTATGTTTTCGTGTTGCAAATTTTGTTAAGGAATAGGCCTAAGGCCGCGACAGTAGAAAAAAAGCAAGATCACACGATGTACAGGTCCACAACTCGCTTCTACTAATTTCTACTGTATGGATAACCCCACCCCACCCCCCCGCATCGTACACCGCACAGGACACTGTACATCGTCTATTCGCACCTTTGGTCGCGTGGGTTTATGCTACTGTATTGCTAAAAGATCCCCCATTGCACACTGTCTTCACTATCCCACACAAGTGTAGAAAACCCGGACGTAAATCTCAATTTCAATTTCCAATTATTTTGTACTTACCTGGACAGATTTCGGGTAACAGTTCTTTCAGTGTAGTAGTCAGGTCGCTAAAAGTCGAGGAATATTTGACTTGAGATGGACTGGAAGCAATATCAACCAATTCTTTAGCGTTCACATTGTTGGTGACACCAATAGCATAAACATTCACGCCGAGATTCTTCAGTTTAGCAGCAGATGCAGCGGTTAAAGATGGAAACTTGGAGATGCCGTCGGTGATAACTAAACCAATCTTAGGTACCCCTTGACGACTTGTGGCTCTAAGAACCATGTTGTAGGCATCGTCCAGAGCTAGATGGGTCATGGTACCGTCTCGAGGTTGGACAAGGCTTCTGATTTCCTGTCTTAAGAGAAATGAGTTTCCACTGAAGTCGATGGATTTGGTGACAGTTGCGCTGTACAGCACGAGTCCCATTCTGGTTTTATCCACGCCGATTTCCAGCTGTCCCACCAGATTTTCCAATGCGTTTTTAAACAGTAAGAAGTCATCTGCGTTGATGCTGTCCGATCCGTCGATCATTACTACTACGTCAAACGACTGTTGACATGGTACTGAAAATATATTAAAAAAAAAAACTTATATAATGAAACAAAACTTCAATGAATATCATGTGATATAGAAGTCGAGCTTGTTCTGAAGAACTCATTACAATAATAAAAACGAATTTCGGAAAAACGGTTTCACAAAGTTTAAGGCATTCTTTTTATTATCTTGTGATACCCAAGTACTAACTATCATTTTATAATTTGACCAATCGGCAGCTGTAGTACAAAGCACGGCTATGATTGGCTACGTTGTTGGATCAAGGGAAGGAAGGGCATTTATAACTCGAACCACCCTAGAACAAAATGCTTAACGTGATACTACGTCTTAGAATTAACATAAAATTTAATAATTTTAAACTTGGCGAATAAGAGACAGTAGATATACCTGATGTCATAAATAACATAACAGGACTCTTATATAATCCGATAGATTATAAAAAAATTAGCAATTATCCATAAATACGCAATTAACTATAGAAAAAGGCTTAATATCAAGATTAAGCGTTTTTCAATAATTACTTAGTTTTATGAATTTTCCAATTTTCCAGATTTTACAGGGATTCTGTTGTAACTTTATGACACCAGGTAAGGTAACTGATGAATAAATACTCATATTGACCATTTCGAGAACTTATATTCTATGTTCATTCTAACACGTAGTATCACTTTAAGGGCACACATTAATTGTATAAAACTATGCAGTGGATAATTTGATAACTGAATAATGACGAGTTCAATATTTGTGTTTACTAATGGAGGGTGGAACAATAAAACATATCGACCAATACAACTATAGTAAATATCAACATCTTTAAACAGAAACCAACGCCTTGATAATCAATATTAGATGAAATTTTAGTCTCCTTTTTTATCTTTGTATGAAATTGTTACATATTGATATATACAATGACAAAATATTTTCTCTCTTAAAGAGATTGTAAATAAAGGTATTCAATCAGCCGTCTGTGGTTCCTGCAATTCCACTAAACCTAAGAGCTTGATGACATCACTAATCGCGGAATATGCTTGTCCACATAAGGCCTTTGCGATTAGTGACACTTATTTTTAGTGGAATTTCAGGAACTGAGGCCTGATTGAAAATTGGAATGGTGTAAATTGATGCTATCATTGTCCCTGATACACATACAAAATTTAGAAAAACCTCTTTACAATCATTTTAACAGAGTAACTCAATACATCAATATTGTAGAGAGATAATTTGAAATTGATATGAATTAGGACTGAATAAATATTATGTTAAATTCGGTTACCTGCAATTATACAATTGTTAGAGAAACGGTTATTTACACATGCGTGTAGAGAGTCTATTTATTTAGTGATATTCATATAGGGTGTTGTCTTCAAGATAATCGATTATTCGAGTTCCCGAGGCAGGGCGCTTCAGAAAGACATTTGTTAGATCTCTCATTTGATTAATGATAGATGCAATTTTTCTATTTTTCTTCGATGGATTTTTGTTTTAGAAATCCTTGAAATAATCTTATTAAAATACACGGCTCTGTTCCTTAAAAATCTTGAAAATTAACAGTGACAAACATCATATTTACAATAAAAATTGATGGTAAGATTTTTTATGGAAAGGGGCCCATTCTCGTTTCAAATTTATTGTGTTTTCTACCCTCAACTTTCAGGATCAGATGAGAATCGATATCTTTAAATCCTGATTTGTTTTGAATTTTGTTCAAGAAGCATCAAAAATTGTACAAATTTATACCAATCAATGTAGGGAAACCTTTTATTGTGCAAAGCATTTAATTGGTTGAATATTAAATAACATAGAACATGAGATTTATAAGAATGTCGTCAGATCAAAGACGGAAAGTGGAGTCTCTCACAGATATAAATATGATGTCGAAAAGTCCCCCAAAAAACGTGGCACTTGTTTTTGACTATGCAGATCTATGATCGTCAAAATATCTTCCAGATGTCAGGTACACGCTATTCTGGCTGTCAAACTTAGGAATTTCATGTATCAAACTGTGAAATATTTTTCTAAATTATCTATTTGTATCGGAGCCATTTATAGCCTCCATTTGCGGCATTCTAATTTTTAGACAGAAGTTTTTGGCTGTCGCTTTGCTACAATCAGAAGTTTTCGTTTACATTATTCATGTGTTTATAAAAATTTTATGAAATGGTACTTACATATGGCTGGTGTTACTGGTAAAACTAATAACATACTGAGAAACACGCTCAGTAAAGTCGGTTTAGATTCCATCTTGCTGAAATTTGAAGAGTAGAGAATAAAATAGAATAAACAGAAAATGATATGTTTGAAATTGAATTAGTACAGTCTATACACCGTATTTTGAATAAATAATTTATTTTATTGAAAGAAAGAATATATTGAAGGATTGAGTTCTCACTCAAGCGAGACCAATATATCAAATACACAAAATTATTTAAGATATAAAACGAAACGATTTATACAGATAATACCGTCTAATATATATATCACTTTATTTTCTTCCTAAAGGTATACTACGTCTTAGAATGAACATAAAATTTGAATTCTTAAACTTAGTCAATAAGAGTATATATTCATCAGTTGGAATTACCAGGTGCCATGACTAAAGATAACTCTATATAACACGGTATAATTAATGAATTATTACTTTGTTTTAAGGATTTATCAGATTTTTAGTGATTCTGTTGTATAGTTATAACATCAGGTAAGTCCACTGATGAACAAAGACTCATTTTGGCGAAGTTTGAAAATTTCAATTTAAGAGGTTGTATATCTTTTAAAACTATAAAAGTAACTGGAAGTTAATAAGCAAATCCATGAGCCTAAGATAATTTCGAACCTTAAATTTTTTCGATTTATTTCGGAGTCAACTGTGAAGAAAATTGAAATTAATATAAACATTAGAACAATCATTATTATCTTCTAAAAACGTATGAATAAAATTAAAAAAATCATTAAATTTATCATCCAATATCAGATTATTGTCATCTGGTATATTAACATTTCGGTAACAATGAATAAATCTAAAATAAAACAAAATTAGAATATGAATAATATTTTTCAATCTTGACTGAAATTAAACTTGACTTCGTAATTGTACCATAATTATATTTTCATTGATAAAACTGAAATTATTGACTAAAAGAAAAATTGACAATTACGATAAAACCTTAAAAAATTAATGATGTCGAATTTTAAATATTTGAAGTAATCCCTCAATCTTCTGTGGTAATTCAAAGAACTCAATTCCAAGAAAATTCCAAATTGATATTCTAATTTTAATTTAAAAATATTTGAAGTATTAATTGTTACTCACTTTTGTCCTTGGGTGAAATTGGCCAGCAATTTCTAAAAATGTATTTTAATGTTTCCTTCCGTAAAAACTCTAGTGGTACTGAAGACGAGATGTAATCCCAGGTATATATACTCTAATTACCATCCCGAATGACGAGAAATTAAATAAAAAATACGTCATAAGTCTTTCGATCCTCCTTGTATTGTTACTCAACCTACTTCAGTTCTTGTCTAATATAATACACTCTTTACTTCTACCACTTGATAGGTATCGTAGTGGATGATACCAACTCGTTACTCACTGGTAGGTATTGTACTGGATGATACCAACTCGTTACTCACTGGTAGGTATTGTACTGGATGATACCAACTCGTTACTCACTGGTAGGTATTGTACTGGATGATACCAACTCGTTACTCACCGGTAGGTATCGTACTGGATGATACCAACTCGTTACTCACTGGTAGGTATCGTACTGGATGATACCAACTCGTTACTCACTGGTAGGTATCGTACTGCATGATACCAACTCGCTACTCACTGGTAGGTATCGTACTGGATGATACCAACTCGCTACTCACTGGTAGGTATCGTACTGGATGATACCAACTCGTTACTCACTGGTAGGTATTGTACTGGATGATACCAACTCGCTACTCACTGGTAGGTATCGTACTGGATGATACCAACTCGCTACTCACTGGTAGGTATCGTACTAGATGATACCAACTCGCTACTCACTTCACTGGTAGGTATGGTACTGGATGATGCCGACTCGCTACTCACTGGTAGGTATTGTACTGGATGAAACCAACTCGCTACTCACTTCACTGGTAGGTATGGTACTGGATGATGCCGACTCGCTACTCACTGGTAGACATTGTACTGGATGATACCAACTCGCTACTCACTGGTAGACATTTTGTCTGGATTGTAAGGCAGAACAATCCGCTCTGAGATGTAGATCCAACTATGAGAACCTTGTGGGCCTCCCAGATAGCCAACAGGCTGTGTACAGACTAGGGCGTCGTCAAGTTGTGGACAGGGATTGTTCAGTTGTCAATTTTTTGTCAAGATATTGAGTGGAGTAGCAGATATACCTGGCTTCTGTGAAAGGGGGAGGGGTGAAGATGGTGGCACAAGGATAGCGTTTGAATTCCTTGAGAGGTTTATAGCTCTGTGGCCTTATTCTTGAAAACTTAACTTAAGATGATTTTAGGTATTCCAGCCATCTGATTGGTTAATCACTAAAATCGATTTAAAATTTAGTTTTGTTATCCAATCACCTTCCTGTATTTCTTAATATCTGGATTTTATCTGGTTTGAGTTTTCAAGAATAAGGCCCCTGATACAAAACAACATGATTAGGCGTGCAGTGTAGAAGATAAATCTATTTGGGCAGGGGGTCAGTTTCTTGTAACCTTTGGCTTCAAAGAGTATCATTCCCAAGTCTTAACCATTTCTACGCCTCATCTAGCTCGAGTGTTTAATAAAGCTAGAATATATAAAATAACGACTGTAAAACAGGTTTGAAGATACTGAGTAAATATAAGGGTTTTGACAAGTTTTTTAGCGGGTTACCAGGTCTTTAAGCAAACTTGTTAAGTAGACGATGAAGAAGGTTTTTTTCAATAAAATGATGGCCCACAATATGATGTTCGTGTTAATTTTCGACAATGTCATCACTTGACAACCCTCTTAATAATCCTCGGGAAACTTTAGGGTGGGTTTTTGTGTGGTGGATACTTTTAATATCTTTACTATTAATTACTATACATATATATATACTATACCATATATGGGCATATTGCATCCAGTTCGTAAGGTGTAGGTATAAGATTTAATACTGCTTTGTGTTTTATGGAATGACTCTATCAGTGAAACAGATGTAAACAATCCTGTATTTGAAATTAGAATGGTGTAAATTGATGCTAACAGTGTCCCTGATACTCGATTTGAAAACCTCTTTACAATCTCTTTAATTACTATAGATTATATCAGCATACCATATATGGACATACCACATCCAGGTCGTCTATCAAGCTAGCTTAGGTATAATATTTCTTTGTGTTTTAAGGCGTTGCATTAATCATGTAATTTAAAGCTTTTTTTTTGAATAAATAAATAATTTGTGTACACAATCATCATATAAGAAACTGTTTACTCAGTCAAAAAGAAGAGATATTGTATTGCTTTGTGTTGTGGGGCGTTTGGGATGAATATTTCTTTAAATTGGCAATCTTATGCAAAATGAAGGTTTTTTTTGTGTTTTATAGCGCTTTGTGTGACTTTTTAAGTAAATTATTATTTTCACAAGTTAATGTATTTTTGTTGTTAATATGTAGGGATATGATTTCCTATTTTAAAGAGTTTGGGATGGATCTTTCTAAGATGAATAATTTTCGTAATCATTTCTTCATTTTCAGATTGATAGAATCATTTGGAATATGAATTTGAATACCAGCTTCAACATGGCCCTGATGCCTGATGTTCTGATGCCTGATGCCCTGATGCCCTGATGCCCTGATGCCTTATGCACTGATGCCTTAAGCCGCGAATAGACGAGGGGTGACGTTGGATGCGGTGTACTCGGTCTAATTAAAATCAGATTACAATTTCGTTTCATTATTTTTTCCGGTCTCCATTGTAGTCTAAAAATATTAAAACAAAGGTCGAGGACTGTTAAAACACTTACCCCATGTATTCAATTAATTGCTTCAGCGGGGTAAAGGCTGTAAAAGGGCTAAAAGGAATAACAGACAACGAGCAACTTTCAGATCAATCATCTAAATTCAATTATTATCTCGTTTCATGTTTTCTTATACATTCAAAAATTTGAAATCTCCAGAATGAATTAATAAAAACCGAAACGAAATGATACTGACCACTCGATGCCAGTCTAGTTTTAGGGTCGAATCCCGGCAAATGTCGAGATAATACCTTTGGGTATTTCAATCAGGTTTCCCTCTGTCAGTGATGTAGGCTTGAGGGGCTGATATGGAAAAGGCGTCTAGATGTACGGGTGAAATAATAAACCAAGGCCATGTGTGCTACAGTTTTATAGTGTTATAGTTTTCTTGGAAATCTAAAAATGGGTAACTGCCTGACATTTCCAGTCTTCATTAACCCATATGGTGCAGACAAGTAGGACGTAAAACTTCACTTCATTCTATTTCATTTCCAAAAAAAGAGAATTCAAGAGATCAAATTTTGAAACTAACATGAACGTGTGGAATGACAAGAATCCGTCTGACTTCTAAAATGACACTTCTTTAAATCTGCCAACTTGGAGGTAATTTTTAAACTTTTCTTTTGTATTATTTTATAACAACAAATATTCAACTAAAACCGTAATTAAAACTAACTAAATAAGATAACAAAACATAGCTTAAATATGTTCAAACATTACATTAAATACACAATACATTTCTTAGGTCCTTTTGTATTCAATTATAAACCCAAAGGGAGTTAATTCTAGTACAACTGAACTAACATTAGGTGAAGTCATTAAAAATATATTATAATAGAAATGCAGTTTGTTTTGCACAATTTAATTGTAAAATGTACATAAAATTAAAGTAAATTAGTAAATAAACGACTAATTACGGACATTCATATTTTACAAGAATAAAAAGTGAGAAACTCAAGGATCCTGTCTACCAATTATTGTCAAATACGCAAATAATAACAAGGCGCAGCAAAGGTCGTTCTCATGACCTTTCTATTTGAATAGGGCGTGGTTTATTCTAGCCAATTAGCGATGAATTATATATATGCTGATTTTAGGTTTTGATATTTTGAACCACGAGATTCTCCCCAAGCATATACTGTGTGTTGAACATCTATTTAGCTTTAAGTTGATGCTTTCAGAGACAGGAAGAAACCACTTCCGGTTAGAATTTGATATCTGGTAATTCAATTTCTATTTCCGAGGTCTGGAATGTCTGGTATGGTGCAGTGGTGTTTCTATAAATCGTGGAGGTGGAGGGGCTAAATAGGGGCCACAAAATTTCAAGGAGGTGAGGGAGACAATACAAGAACTCAATGATAAAAAATTTTTGGTGTGGGGGGGGGGGGGGGGGGTGATTATGGGGTCGAGTTAACCACTGGTGTAAAGTCAAAAAACTTTAACCCTTGTGCTAGCACGTCGTTTGATAACATTGGATAGAACCTTGGGTATTTGGGAACCCCTAATATATAATGGAAATTTTGAACAAAAGAACATGAAATATATTCCCAGGTGTGGCAAATAATACTTTATAAAGACTCCTTGTTGACCAAATCAATTATTCAAGATGATAGTTATATCGATATGCGAAACTCATCCTGTCTTCAAGCCAAACCTATAATCTAGAATATTACATAAGGGTCGGGTTGTGATCTAGGGATGAGCAGAGTGCATCTGTTTTGATTCAATTATTGACCAATTGGTCAAGATTTCAAAAGTAGCTAGCTTAACTTGATATGGTTATAACATTTATTGATAATTTGAAAATTATGTATAAAAAAACTCAAATTTCACCTACTGGGGTACTTCAGGACCCCCGAGATTCAATAGGTGTTATAGTCAATTTTTAACCAAAATGGCCCCAAAATTAGTTGAAATATCCCTTACAAAGTGGTCAAAATGGTATCAAATAATTTTTTTAATTCATTGAACAACTTTAACAATAAATAATATATGAATGTTTTGAAAGTATGTTGTTTGTATTTCGGTGCCGAAATAGGTGTAGAGGGATTGGATCAGGGACCAATAAGATAGAGGTGTTTTGGTCGTATCACGGCGTATTTATATTGAACAGGTCTCATCTTGGTAAAATATTATGTACTCTTCATATTGAATATATCCATAAATTTATTTAATAATTTGAATTAATTTGTTAATAACAGATTAACCTTAATCTTTGAAATAATGTACTGTGTCAATGTTTATTATCTATCAAATGTTGTTAAGATTTTTTAATAGTTTCCGTATGGTGCAATACAATTCTTACAGGTGTATTGAAACTCGGCCCCACTTTCAACCAATTCTATATATTACTTGGCTGTCATGGAAAAATTTGACTTGGTTTAAACAGTATTTATTTCAAAACCAATATACACATCATCACTTCAATAAGCTACAAACTATTGTCTTTTTTCTTTCATTAATCATCACATAAGTTACAAACTATTATTATTATTAGTCTTTGATAATCACTCAGATAAGCTACTAATTATAATTAATTATCAAAGTTAGAATATTTTTAAACTAGCGACATTTTTAATTTTGGGGGTGGGGGGATCATTTCGACCAATGATTTTGGTTGAAATCAAAGATTGTATTTGGGTCATTTCGACTAGTTTTGACTTTTGATGCCATTTTGACATGGGGACATTTCGGTTTAGTGCCAAATTGACTTTAACCTAAGATAACTAGCTTTAGGAGTAGATTACAATTTAATTTTATTCACTGAAATCCAGTTTTAGCACTGAATTTATCTAGGGTCGAAATGCACCCCAACATACTAGCATGGTGTGTTTCAATTTAAAGGGGTATCATATCCGCTAATTGTGATTGTTGCACAGTAGACTGATCATGAACAGGTTAAAAATTCATTCAGCTACAATGTTAGAAATAACCAAATTGCTATCTTCGATGGCATTTTGGAAATTCGAAAAAAAATCGGTGCTGGGGTCCCGAAATACCCAAAGTTCTAGCACAGGGGTTAAACAAATCCTGCTAGCAAGTCTGACAACAATTTAGAATATTCAACGGATTAAAAGTAGCAATGCACGATGAAACGACATATTGAAAGTCAAGGGAATGTCAATATGGTATATGATTATATAAAACATAAAAACGTCTCAGTGTAATTCGGTCTTTAGAGTGTTTTTAATATGTAAATATATTACTCTATAATTAGATGATATCACTAAGGTCATGTTTACATTCTGCATCACGACGGAAAACTACCGGAACTGAAAGATGAATAAATACATGAATAAAAAAAATAAAATTACAGAAAAAAAAAAATTGATTTGTATGTGATATTACTAAGTTGGGATGAATTCTTATTCACTCATTCTCCATACATAATTTCATTTATTTTGTTGAGTTTTTTGTGTTTTTGTGACATTTCTCTCGTTTGTTCGAAGCTTACGGAGAAAAAAAACAACCGTAGGATAGGTTCACGTCTTTCAAATGATCCTTCGCCAAGCCTCTCGCCATTGATTTTTCCCGCAATATCATTCTCAAAGAATCCACACATCTAATAATATTCTACGGGCTTTGAATTTTATCAGATATTGGATATTCCGCGTGTCTACGAAGCTAACAATGATTGGTTTATCTCGAATAAAATCCCTTAAGGCCGCCCGATTATATCTGACTGTGGCAGTGAGTCATATGCAGTGTCAGAATACATTGATCATTTCTTACTACCTCTAGCATGTCAACATCGCGCCTACCTTAAAGACACAACCGATTTTGTCAATAAAATAAAAAATCTTCGAGTTCCCTCTAATGCTATTTCAATTTCTATCGACGTTTCTTCTATGTATACCAATATCGATAACACTACTGGTCTAACGGCAGTTCGTAAAGCTTTTAATAGAAACCCAGATCCAAACAGACCCCACGATGCTTTATCAACTCCGTATCTCTGTTGAAAGAGAACACGTGGTTAGCAGCGAATAGTTTTATTAAATTTACAACACTTTCTCGACAACCTACTTCGAGAGTTCACATAGCCAATAATATTAATTGAGTTTTTAACTGTGTTCACGTCTTACAGTCTTTATTACTGATTACGTTATTCCCCCTTTTTTTCATTTGATTTGGGATGTTAATATCATCGTCTTAATTAAGAAGACAAAAATAGAGATGGTTGCCCAAGAAACATTTTATCTCTTTGAAGGTTCGAATGCCTGTCATTATTATTGTTGATATAACGAGGCGGAGGGGCGGTAATTGTCCAGAATAATAAGTAGCTGTTACTAACACGGAGCACGCCTAACAGAAAGAATAGCCAACCCAAAGGCGTGTGTAAAATGTCAACAAGAGGTGATTTAGAGTGTTTTTATTAGTTAAAGTTTAAATAATGACATTTTTTAGTTAAAAAATTGTGTTGATTTAAATAGGAGTAGAAAACACGAACACGTGCGTGTACACACTATACATGTTGTTATTGGGAGACCCGAATTACTTGTAATAACTAGAAGGTTGAGGACAGGGTCTGGCTCTATTTTATAATATAAATAATTATACACCTTGACCCTGATATTACAACACGACATCTTGAAAATCTTTCAATATTTCTGTTACTTTCTTCAGAAATATATATTCAAGTGATTGTTGCTAGAATTAGTTTGATCTGGATTTTCCAATCTTGATACCATCAGCTGTTTTAGATGTTTATAGGTTAAAGGGATTGTATAGAGGTTTTCTAAACTCGTATGTTCTTATGACTATGGAAACGGCCTGAAGATATCATTTACAGTTTTTGCTATATTAATGTGTCTGTTTGATATTATATTCGGCCGATATCAATATTTGTAAACATTTTCAATCATTCTCTTTCATATTAATTATGTCAATAGATGATGTAATTCTTGTTTCATTCGTATATAACTGCCAGGAAAATAGTCCAATAAAAGGTTATGTTAGATTTAGACTATAATATGGATTTTAAAAGTCAATTAAATTTGTATACGCTATCGCTTTAAGTTTGGTTTTTGAAACTATACACAGTGATGTCTCTAGGAAACATCAGGTGAGGGGCGAGCAGGGTCTACAAAATTTTTCAGGGGGGGGGGGGGGGGGCACAGGTCATTCCATGATAAAAAAAGATTATTAAAAGGGGGTAGGGGGCTATACCCGGGCCAGCCTCTCCTGCTATAGAGACGCTACTGTAGATAGCCTAAAGAGGATTAGGCATAGGAGGTAACTATGTATTAGAGGTGTGGTGATGAAGTGGGCAATTCAACTCTATATTTGATCGTTCATTATATGATATTATAGTGTAATTTTCACTCTACTTGAGACACAATAGCCTTCATCTCAGTAAATGAAGAGTAGGGATTTATCACGATATACCACCTTTCTCACCTGGCTTGTTACCATTTCTATACACACCTGTTCTACACCTGAACAATACCTTTATAAAAATGGAGTTTTACGTAACTGACACAGACCTACACCGGCACAGCCCGCTTCTTAAAACGCTATGACGTGTTAAGGTAGTTACTGGTATATTGTCCCAAAAATCTGACCCTACCGCACCGATATCGTCGTTGTTATAGCCACATTCAAAATCTTGCTTTTTAGTCCCCGTGCCCCACACGTTGCCACAATAAATTACAAGGGGATGTTTTCCCTTCTTCGTTCAATTCCTTTTTTCATTCATAAATGAGGATATATTTCATAATGAAAAGTCGTATCAGGTGTATATAAGAGTAAGCATATCCTGCCTGGTGCCACACCCCGTCAAGTATATGCCGAATAGATAGTACATGTACACCATAGATTGGCATTTAACCTTACATATCTGTTTGTAATCTTGATATTAGGTGTTTGATTTATGTTTTTTTGCCAATAATGTTAGATAGGGGTTATTATTATATGTATATTTATTATAAAATATATGTCAAACTCTAGTCCGACAAGATAATACAGATAACACTATAACTGATTGACTGATAATATTATAAGATTGATCTGTGTCATATAGAACTAGTTCTACTACCATCATGTTGTTTCTAATAGTCTCGTTTTCTCTTATTTTCACGTTTGCATGTAAGTATGGTTTAGTTGTACCCGACCCCCTTACCATTACCCTAGGGCCCTTGTCTATCAATACAATTTCCACCTATGTATGTAAGTATAGTTTAGTTGTACCCGACCCCCTACCCATTACCCCAGGCCCCTTGTCTATCAATACAATTTCCACCTATGTGTGTAAGTATAGTTTATTTGTACCCGACCCCCTAACCATTACCCTAGGGCCCTTGTCTATCAATACAATTTCCACCTATGTGTGTAATCATGGGTCATTTGTATCCCGACCCCTTAACCCTAGGGACCCTATAACCATTGTCTATCAATGGTGGCAAATTAAATTTCCTCCGATGTTTTGCAGTACCCCAATTTGATTAAAATTACAAATTTTACATGTCGTTGTCTTGCCTACATTTACTCATTGCACACTGCATGACGTTTGTCTTCAATTAGCCAGAAATGTACAAAAACTAGCAAACCAATGGAGACCTGAGCAGTGGGCTCTTATAGCCAGGCCCTCAATCCAGTTCTTTATTTTGATATGAGCTTAGATTTTTTTAGATATTTTATCTTATCTTTTATCTTATATATGGCATGTTGTTTTTCAAATATTTTATGTTTATTTATAATTTTTTTCAACTATAAAGTTGATGATTTATCATAGTAATCGAAATGAAATACTGTATTTGAATTATAAAGTCGAGCAAAGCCTTGATGTGGGCAATTTCATGCCAGGGAATTTCATAACGAGACATTTTCTCTCTGTATGACTCCTTTTTCATGTCGTTTTACCCGTACAGTATTTATTTCAACATGTGTGTTTGTTTGTTTGTAAGTAAATAAACTCTCTTGGTAATTCACACCTTACTTCAACTTTTAATTTAAAACAGAAAAAAAACATCCTTAAATATCACCCAAGTTGTACAGCTAGACTCTAATTAGAATTCTCTGCTCACTTCAATACTGCCTGTGTTCGCACTGATTAAACACCGCGTGTATACATAATGACGTCACGTAACATAGATTATATGCTGCACTTCCGGTTAAGTGCACTCAACATCCATGCAATTCCGATATTTACCTTCCGGCATGGGGTTTGTGCGGCTGGTCAGTTGGTATTTTATACCTACCCATTTTATTACGTATCTCGCCCAGGGCCTAGTTACGGACTTGTCGTCCGAAACCGTTCTCTGTTCCACTTAATGAAATATCTCTCGGACAATCACCTTAATAATGTAATAGTAATTCCAAGTAGATACTCAAATGTCTTAGAAGTCTCGTGTTTTAATTTGACTCACGGACTGGTATATGTAAACTAATCATGTTATTAGCCTCCCTAAAGATAAATTTACCATCTGAGAGTGGCTTTAGGGCTTTAACCTTCACGGCTTCAAAGGCTTTTACTTCATTGTCAAGTTGTTTCTTTAATAAAAGTTGAGGTGTTTTACCAAGCCGGACTCTATAAACATGACTTGAAGAAGTCGCTTCGTGCAGTAACGTTCACGTATAATTCATTGTTTTTATTGTATAATGTACATACTATAAAAGAAAAGAAACTGACAATAATTAACAATAAAGTGTCAATATCTGGTAACCGTTAGGGTATTTTCGTATTTGAAATTAAAAAAGATAAAATGGAGCATTACGTTCTTTAAAATACATCATTTATCTATTTCCAGTTTCAGCAGGGATTCCCTACGTAGATAAAGGTTACCCCTATATAGATGGTCACCTACCTACTAAAACGTTCGACATAACTGAAAGGGGAGACAAATCTCCACTACACAGTGTAGCCTTCATTCCAACAGATCCTGGTGTCTATGGTATCTTTTTTTTTATTGGTGGAATGGACAGTTTAATTGCTGCTGAAACGTATACTAATTACTTGGGAAGAATTGCCGGTCATGGGTCAGTGTATTACCAGTATTTGAAACGGGAAATGAGGTGGATGGGGGGGGGGGGGGGGTAAACTCGGGCAGTACATTGTCTTACAGCTCTGGACATTTCCCAAAGATTTGTTCGTCATGGGTTTTCAGTTTTCAGTTTTCAGTATTTTAAACGGGGAATGGGGCGAGGGAGGTGGGGGTGTATTCCTCGGGTAGGATACCGTATAGCTCTGCATGTTTTGTTTCATTTTTTTCGTTTTTTCTGTGAAATACTGCTCTTGAGAATGGAAACAGGCAACGTCAAGAAGTGTGCATTAACGGGAATTATGCCCAAACATCACAACTTGCAGTTCATTAAAGACGATATTTATACTGTACTACAATGTATCTATTTTTTCAGTTTTGTTACAATTGGGGTTGATGTTGGATTCCCAGTCGAGGCCAAAAATCATAAAACCGTCTTAAATAATTTAAATCTAAGAGACTTCGCTGACGATTTTATAAAACAGTATCATTGGGTAGGTTTGAATGTTAGTTGTTATATAAAACAGTATCATTAGGTAGGTTTGAATGTTAGTTGTTATATAAAACAGTATCATTGGGTAGGTTTGAATGTTAGTTGTAATATAAAACAGTATCATTGGGTAGGTTTGAATGTTAGTTGTTATATAAAACAGTATCATTCGGTAGGTTTGAATGTTAGTTGTAATATAAAACAGTATCATTGGGTAGGTTTGAATGTTAGTTGTAATATAAAACAGTATCATTGGGTAGGTTTGAATGTTAGTTGTTATATAAAACAGTATCATTGGGTAGGTTTGAATGTTAGTTGTAATATAAAACAGTATCATTGGGTAGGTTTGAATGTTAGTTGTAATATAAAACAGTATCATTGGGTAGGTTTAAATGTTAGTTGTTATATAAAACAGTATCATTGGGTAGGTTTGAATGTTAGTTGTTATATAAAACAGTGTCATTGGGTAGGTTTGAATGTTAGTTGTTATATAAAACAGTATCATTGGGTAGGTTTGAATGTTAGTTGTTATATAAAACAGTATCATTGGGTAGGTTTGAATGTTAGTTGTAATATAAAACAGTATCATTGGGTAGGTTTGAATGTTAGTTGTTATATAAAACAGTATCATTGGGTAGGTTTGAATGTTAGTTGTTATATAAAACAGTATCATTGGGTAGGTTTGAATGTTAGTTGTAATATAAAACAGTATCATTAGGTAGGTTTGAATGTTAGTTGTTATATAAAACAGTATCATTGGGTAGGTTTGAATGTTAGTTGTAATATAAAACAGTATCATTGGGTAGGTTTGAATGTTAGTTGTTATATAAAACAGTATCATTGGGTAGGTTTGAATGTTAGTTGTGATATAAAACAGTATCATTGGGTAGGTTTGAATGTTAGTTGTAATATAAAACAGTATCATTGGGTAGGTTTGAATGTTAGTTGTTATATAAAACAGTATCATTGGGTAGGTTTGAATGTTAGTTGTAATATAAAACAGTATCATTGGGTAGGTTTGAATGTTAGTTGTAAACAGTATCATTGGGTAGGTTTGAATGTTAGTTGTTATATAAAACAGTATCATTGGGTAGGTTTGAATGTTAGTTGTTATATAAAACAGTATCATTAGGTAGGTTTGAATGTTAGTTGTTTCAAAACTTTTTATACTCAATCCGCTGAAATGTTCCACTGATGCTTAATAACGTATTTAGTTTAGGAAAACCGCCGTGAATTCCCGAATGACATCACAGAATAAAATGAAATGAAATGAATAGAGTTTTACGTCCTACTCTTCTAAACCTTATTAGACATCATGTAATAAAGGACTATGAGTCGACTAAAGATATTAGAGAGTTAAGCTGACTGTGAAGGTCAGAGTACTCTAACAACTAAAGCATCCTGTTTCTTTATATTTCAGCTAGAAGGTAACCTGAATAGAATCATCGAGAATAAAACCAAAGGAGTGTCTGTAGACTGGAATTACTCAGTAATAGGGTCACATTCGGCCGGAGCTGATGGTGTCCTATTGATGACTGAACGAAACAATACTATAGCTAAGGTAATTTGGTTTTTGTGGCAGCCCGTACGTTTAAATGATAGCTTCTTATTTCTCTTTGGACAGATGCCGTACAAATGGAGCAATATGTCAGCTTAATGGGAAATGGAATTTAGAATGTGGGTAATATCTGCTCGTGAGAATGAATGGGTGTGATGGAAATGAAGTCGTTTTAAATTTCCATGTTTGAATTACACACAACGGGACAAAGGGTTTGATTTAAGCAGTAATGAGGATATCTGAAATTGAGCTTTATCGGCTAGAAAGAAAAATGATATCAATATAGACTATCAGCTGGTAAAGTAAATATCTAGATGACTATATAGATAGCAGATATTGAGCTCTATCAGCTGGTAAAGTAAATATTTCGACAACTATATATATAGCTGAAATTGAGCTCTATCAGTTGGTAAAGTAAATATTTAGAAGACTATATAGATAACAGATATTGAGCTCTATCAGCTGGTAAAGTAAATATTATTATGGCTATACATATAGCTGAAATTGAGCTCTATCAGGTCGTAAAGTAAATTTTTAGATGACTATATAGAATGCAGATATTGAGCTCTATCAGCTGGTAAAGTAAATATTTCGACAACTATACATACAGCTGAAATTGAGCTCTATCAGCTGGTAAAGTAAATATTTAGATAACTATACAGATAGCTGATATTGAACTCTATCAGCTGGCAAAGTAAATATTTAGATAACTATACAGATAGCTGATATTGAGCTCTATCAGCTGGTAATGTAAATATTTAGATGACTATACAGATAGCTGAAATTGGGCTCTATCAGCTGGTAAAGTAAATATTTAGATGACTATACAGATAGCTGAAATTGATCTCTACCAGCTGGTAAAGTAAATACTTAGATAACTATACAGATAGCTGATATTGAACTCTATCAGCTGGTAAAGTAAATATTTAGACAACTATACGGATAGCTGATATTGAGATCTATCAGCTGGTAAAATAAATATTAAGGTCTATAAGTCTTTAAGCTCGTCTTAACTGATCACTTTGTTTATTGCAGGCAGTGGTATATTACGAACCGTTCAGTTATAAATTCTCAAACCCTATTAATTTTACCATGCCAGCTTTAATCATAGGAACAAAATTTGCCGAGGAACATCAAGGGTTATTTCCCCCTTGTATCATACCTGGCTATGGTTTTAATCATTTTTATGATTATTGGCGGAATTCTGAAAGATTTCTTATTGAAGTCAAGGTAAGAGACCATTTTAATATCACAGAAGACGAATATTGGTTCTTATTTACAAAATATCTTACGATCACCTTTGTCTTAAAGATGGGTTCCCTTATTTTCATTTAAGAAAATGAAAATGCTAATACTTATATGAATAGAAAGTAGATGTGTTCTATTGACTTGGAAAAATATCAGTTTGTCTCACATGTCCATAATTAATTCATAATTAGCTAAATTAGAAGAGAATTACCACCAGAATTCCTATGAGTGACCCGATCAAGAAAGGTCAAAAAGTTTATCCAGACTGTACTTATATGGTCATTCATGATTGGTTAAAACTCTTTAATTATATGCAATAAGAACATAATGATATTATTAATAATACATGATAATTCATTAGAAACATTAATTAATCTAATAGTTTTCTTAATTTGACACTAAAAAATGAGGTTTGGTGCAAATTGATGCTATCCCTAATTCACATTTTACGTCTATTGGTGCTAATGAAGACCATCAACGTTACGCAGTGCGCAATGAAAGAACCAGATCAACGGTCCAAACCAGCTAGTAATAAATCTTTAATCTTGCGAAGTAACAGACGACCCATATCCTTGGCACATTTGATATTGATTGAAAAATTCTTGAAGAAATTCCGCGACATCATAAGAAATTCATCGTGTCTTAAAGTATTCCTTGCGAAATATCAACCTAGCTTCACCTTTACTCACTCAGTCGACGTCTTGGACATTCATTTCGTGTATCAAAGTTGAAAAATATTGGTAAAGGGAGGCAACTTCAGTTTGTAAAATTCACTCACAAAAAAAAATTAACTGAATGAGCCAAAACAAATCTCAAGCATATTGAGCAATATGAAATTAAATCAAAGGGAAGTAATTCAATTTTCTGAAATATTTCAAGCCCACAATTATTGTATTCATGTTTTATATTTCAGAATTTTGGTCACTGTGACATCCTAGATGATGATATTAGATTATGTAAGTATTTTTCATAATTATGGGTATTGATAACTTACTTTCACTTGTTAACTCTGCCTCCACCCATTTTACTTCTTTTTCAGTTTGCGATTCCAAACATATCTGCCTCACCGGAAATTCATCCAACATAAATCTGTACCACGACTTCGCTCAGGGTGTGACGTCATCATTTTTAGTGTACTCCTTATATGGTTATAAGAATGATCTGATGTACCTAACAGACGCTAAAAAAATGCCGATTGAAGTAGAAACATTGAAATACAACCTAACATCCGCTATTTTTCCCTAATAAAATGTATACCATGGTTTTATTTATGCATATAGAACGTATTTGGGGGCGTGTTATAACACAGTCATGTACCTATGACCCTTACCCCTCCAATACGCTATAATATTTACAGTCTTTCTGTCGATGGCTATGATTGGCTACATTCGGTAGTATATAATCCAATCCGTATTAGTTTGTAATAGCTTGACATAGTGAAAATGATGTTTGTTATAGCTTGACATTGTGAAGATGAAGTTTGTAATAGCTTGACATTGTGAAGACGAGGTTTGTACTAGCTTGACATTGTGAAGATGAAGTATGTAATAGCTTGACATTGTGAAGATGTAGTTTGTAATAGCTTGACATAGTGAAAATGATGTTTGTTATAGCTTGACATTGTGAAGATGAAGTTTGTAATAGCTTGACATTGTGAAGATGAGGTTTGTAATAGCTTGACATTGTGAAGACGAAGTATGTAATAGCTTGACATTGTGAAGATGAAGTTTGTTATAGCTTGGCATTGTGAAGATAAAGTTTGTAATAGCTTGACACTGTGAAGACGAAGTATGTAATAGCTTGACATTGTGAAGATGAAGTTTGTAATAGCTTGACATTGTGAAGACGAAGTTTGTAATAACTTGACATTGTGAAGATATAGTTTGTAATAGCTTGACATTGTGAATATGAAGTTGGTAATAGCTTGACATTGTGAAGATGAAGTTTGTAATAGCTTGACATTGTGAAGATGAAGTTTGTAATAGCTTGACATTGTGAAGATGAAGTTTGTAATAGCTTGACACTGTGAAGACGAAGTATGTAATAGCTTGACATTGTGAAGATGAAGTTTGTAATAGCTTGACACTGTGAAGACGAAGTATGTAATAGCTTGACATTGTGAAGATGAAGTTTGTAATAGCTTGACATTGTGAAGACGAAGTATGTAATAGCTTGACATTGTGAAGACGAAGTATGTAATAGCTTGACATTGTGAAGATGAAGTTTGTAATAGCTTGACATTGTGAAGACGAAGTATGTAATAGCTTGACATTGTGAAGATGAAGTTTGTTATAGCTTGGCATTGTGAAGATAAAGTTTGTAATAGCTTGACACTGTGAAGACGAAGTTTGTAATAGCTTGACATTGTGAAGATGAAGTTTGTAATAGCGTGACATTGTGAAGATGAAGTTTGTAATAGCTTGACATAGTGAAGATGTAGTTTGTAATAGCTTGGCATTGTGAAGATAAAGTTTGTAATAGCTTGGCATTGTGAAGATAAAGTTTGTAATAGCTTGACACTGTGAAGACGAAGTTTGTAATAGCTCGCTATTGTGCAGATGAAGTTTGTAATAGCTTGACATTGCGAAGATGAAGTAAGTAATAGCTTTACATTGTGAAGATGTAGTTGGTAATAGCTTGACACTTTGAAGA